TTGATTACATTATAGTGTCAATTAAAGAATCTAAGAACCTAGTTGATATGAAATTAGAATAACTTCAAACTTCATTAGAGGCTCATGAGATGAGGCTGAAGCATAGGAACTCAGAAAGAGAGAAAGGGGTTGAATATGAACTACAAGCATATTCATCAAGATGTATGGAAAATAGAGAGAGAGAAACAGAGAAAGAATTTTGCTTATGATAAAAAGTCAAGTAAGAATTCAAAGAATCACTCGAATTCAACCAAGAAAGACATGGGAAACAAGTATTCAGGGAAGAAAGTTGACACGAAGAGGTGTTGTATTACAATTGTCAAGGATTTGGTCATTATGCTCGAGGTTATCGGCAAAAAGAAAGAAGAAAGCGCAAAAGATAATGATGAATTTTAGTATGCACATGCTGGAGATAATGACTCTAATGATGTGTTACTCATGGTCAATACTCAGTCGAACAATGAACATACTGATGTATGGTACTTGGATTTTGGATGGAGTAACCAGATGACTGGTAATAAAAAACTGGTTATCAAGTTAGATGAATTAGTTGAGAAAGTGATAAAGTTTACAAATGGAAGGCACACCATATAAGGTGGAAAATGAGACATATCTATGATTAGAAAGGATCGTTGAAAATCCAACATCACTAATGTGTTGTATATACCTTCAATGAAAAGTAACTTTATAAGCATAGTTCACTTAATTACTTGCTAAATCTAAAAGGATATAACATGAAGCTAGAAAAGTATAAGATGAAGGTATATCATGGTGATCGAAGGTTAATTCTAAAAGCACCGTTGAAAGATAATAAGACCTTTAAAATATAGATCAACACAGTTGATCATGAGCATATTGATATAGAATCAAACCATTAGAGGAATGGATAAGTTTAACATCAAGGAGGTAATTTGGATAACCAAGTTACTTGATTGAAAATGATTTGACGGTTCCTTCATAAATTATTTGAGGAATAGTGGATAACTTCCTATGAAAAGCTTGTATACCTTATTTGATGCAAATGAATAAGGAAGTGGCAATTAAACTCATTCTAAAGTCATATGATAGTACAAATCCTTTGAGTGCATCATTTCACGGACAAGGTGCTTGTTCAAACCATAATTTACCTTCTTTAATTTGCAAGTGTGACTAGGAAAATCAACATGTGTAAAGTCAGGTGGTTGTTGCATGTAAACCTCTTCACTTAGTTCACCTTGTAAGAAGGAATTATTGACATCTAATTGATGCAAAACCCATCCAAAGGTGGGGGAAATGATAAGTACAAATTTGATGGTTTGAGGTTTAAGATAGGAGTAAATGTTTCTTTGAAATCCAACCCAAGTGTTTGAGTATAGCCTTTTCCTACCAATCAAGCTTTGCACCTAGATATACTACAATCTGAGTTTCTTTTGTCATGAAAGAGACACTTGTAGCCTACCAAATTTTATCTAGTCTAATTTGGTATCAATTTCCATGTGTCATTTTTAATAAGTGCATTGAACTCTTTTAAACAAGTATGTCTCCAATGAGGGATTTTTAAGGCTTGAGTGTTGGTTAAAGGTTCCAAGTTTTCAAGTAAAGTGTGTTTGGTGGCAGCATAAATGTGCTTTGGCTTTAAATTGTTGTTTTTGGAACATGAAACGATAATATTTCAACTAGGTGAGGGGATGGTAGTTGGTAAAGACATGGATGAAGAGGGAATAATGTGAGTACCTTGTATTGTTGCGACAACTTGAGCAAGTGAAAGCTCTGATGTAGGGATCACTGTAGAAGCAAGATCATTATGTGTGGAGTTTATAGTAGGATGCGACATTTATTGGACAACTTGTATATGAATAAAGGAAATAATACGTGTATGGAGTGGGGATCAATGAAAGGTATAGATGTTGATAGACTGGTTGAACTAGCTAAGTTGGAGTAATAGAATTTATTTTCAATGAATTTGACATGTCTATAAGTGTATAAACAAATAGAAACACGTTCAAGGCAGTAAAAGATATATTGGGATAAAAAGTAGCCAAGGAAAATGTATGATATAATCTTTTTTTGTAGTCTTTGTCCCACATTGTCATTTATTTTACGTGTTTGAGGAGGTGTAGTTAAGTGAGAGATGCCATGTGTTCCCAATATTTTTTTTAATTTTACAAACTCTCCACCATTATTAGAGAAGAAAGTAGCTATAGGCAAATTAAAATGTTTTTCCACAATGGTTTTGAATTGAATGAAAATATTGAAAACGTCTAATTTATTTTTCATATGGTATAACCATCATACTTTGAGATATGATTAATAAAAATGACATAGTAAAGATAGCCAGCTAATAATCTAATAGGAGTTAAGCCCCCAGACACCTGAATAAATGAGTTCTAAAGGAGTAGTGCTTCTAATATGATGATTTGAGACAGGTAATGTGTGACTCTTAGCACAATAGCAAGAATTGCATTCATGAGATGAGGGGATTTTATTGGTAATTGATGATTTGCTGTCGGATGCTTCATAATAGTTAAAGAGGGATGTCCTAGTTCGTGATGGCATGTTGAGATGGAGTGGAGACTTGTATTGAGTGTTATATGGTTGGTATGTGGAGTTATTTGTCATGGAAACTAATAGAGATCTTTCTTAGTTCAAGTCCTTCACAACAAAACAAGAGGAACAAAATTCTACATAACAGTTATTAGTTTTTCATAGTTTGAAAACAAAAAGAAAATTAGATTTCATATTTGGTACATTTAAAACTTAATTGGTATGAAGGAATACTTTTTTGGTGTTCAAAGTAGTGTGACCTGTATGAGTAATTTGCAAACATGTTCCATCACAAACTAAGGCATTGTCTAAGTCGGGGTAGGAATCATTCAAAGTGAGATGCTTTGAATCTTGAGCAATGTGATGAGATGCTCTTGTGTCAATGATCCAGTTAGGATGATGTGGTGCAGATTGGCGAGTATTTTGTTAGCTTGTGGTCTGCCTCTATTTCTATGAGGATAACCCATGATTTTGAAGCAATGTCTTGCAATATGACCAAGTTTGTTGTGATATTAATAGATAACATTTGGTTAATTTGTTTCACCAGAGGTATGGGATGTACGATTTCCATCGTACCTAGAGTGATGTTGTTTGTCGTGGAATCTTAATGTTGGATTTTCTATATCAACTACAGAACTAGACATAGTTGGTTACACACAGTGCATTAACATGTCAAAGTCCATGATTTTCTCATGGAGTTTATCAAATTCAATGGTTTTATACCTGGATTTTTGCCCCTTATATCCCTCATCATCTCATATACATCTCATGCACATCATTGACTTTATGATTATGGGATCAAGGTGTTCTATCTTTAGTTTTCATCAAGCTAGAAGAGAAGGAGTTCACAACCAATACAAAGAGGGTGAGGTATCCTCAATTTTATGTTTATTGAAGCTACTAAGTTTTCTTAAGCCTCAAGACATATAAATATGTCTATCACTCCATCAGATGAATGAAGTTTGCTAGGATTTGAATGTGTTCAACACTCTCCATCATTTGATCCTTGAGCTAGGGTTTTGTTTATTTGAGTGTGTGATATCTCCATGGGAAATGTATTTGAAGCATTATCATCTTATCATCATACAAGACATCATTGTTCAATAGTTTTTCCATCATGACTAGAGGAACTGGGATTTTAAACTTGAGACATCATCTCCTATCTTTTTCAATCAAAACTAGGGTTTATGATAAAAATCAGTTTATTTCTGATTATTTGAGAAAAACTTGATTATATGGTCTTCTATATGTTCCTAATTGTGTAGGGGCGGAAGGTTGATCATCAAGTTTAATTAGAAGAGTTGTAATTGCTAAGATGATTGTGAATCAATTGAATTGGGGAAAAGTCAATCGTGCAGTCAACAAAAGTTAAAGTTTGACCAAGAGGACTTTTGGTCAACAATGAGGTCAAAGTTCATATTTTTATGTTACATGATCGTTGATTGAAGATAATAATGAGAATTCATGGAATTTGAGATATCTTGTCAAAGAAGAAATCTTAAACACTTAGAATTTTTTCTAAGCTATAAGATTTTCAAGCTATTTTTTTTCATTTTCAAATGTTCATAATTTCCTCATTTTTTATCTGAAATTTGCAAACTTAATATAATTGGAAAGAGGAAGGCAAGATCTACAACTTTATCCTTGTGGGTTCATGTCCAAAAATTTAAAGGAGAAGAAATTATTCATCTTGAAAGAGAGGTTCATTTTGGTTCAAATTTCTACACTTAATGAAAATTATGGATCACCTTCATAAAATCTGTCATTTTCGTGGCCAGTTTTGAGGACCTTAATTGATTCAAATCAAAATTCTTCCAACATGAAAGTTGTAGGGAATCTCATTAAATTTCCAAAAAATTAAAAATCATAAATGAATTTGAAGAATTGAGCAAGTTGATCTATTATGCCAAGACAAGTCATCAACTTTGGCCAATTTGAGATTTCTTGCAATATGAACCATTTCCAACTTGCCCAAAGGACATGATCAGTCCATATGCATGAAATTTACTTCCCCAATACACCCACGCAAGCTCATGCACCTTCCTTGTACTATTTTCATCAAAATTGCAAAATATATCAATTTCCTTATAACTCATTCCACTCATCACCCCATGTGCTCATCTTTTGTACATCATCTTCTTACCCCACAAGGTTCCCAAAATGCATACAAATCTAAGCCATTTGCAAGCAAAACGGACACATCACACAACACTCCATTTTCGGCCAAAACTTCCAAATTTTCCCTCCACTCAAATTCTGACCATAATTAGCTATCACACTCACTCCATACATTCTATATAACCCCTTCACACCCTCAAAAACACTAGATACACCTCTCATACTCTCTATTCTAGATCTGACATTTTTCTCTTCATTGGAATGTTTTCTCAAGTTCTCTCAATTCTCTCGTGCCAACTCTTATTTATCACTCATTTCATTATCTATGAAGCTCAAGGATCAAGCCTACTAGGTTTCTTATGCTCTGTAACTTGAAGAAGGAGTGGAATTATATTCCACTTGGTAAGATTTTTGCCTTTTATTCTCTCTCATTTTAGTGTTTAAACATATGTTAGAAGCATCATCATCTTACATCTGAAGCTTTTTAATAGTGGCAACTGATCTAGGCTCAAATATAATGTGTAGTTTTGTTAAAAAAATTCTAAATCATGTTTGTACACGTGCGTTGTTGCTAGATTTTATCTGTGATTTAATGCTTGTTTCTGGAAAATAGTGACATGATGTTGTTCCTTGTTCTTCATAGATCATTATTGCTTTTTAAACTTTTTGATTTCATGGAGAAATAAGGAAGTTATGATTGCATGAAGTTTGCATGATAAAACTGATTTAGGGTTTCTCTTTATCGTGTTTGATGGTTTTTCAAATGTTTGGAGGTAAGGGACGATGTTTTGTCATGCGCTGATTGGCCAAATTTTGTTTTTGTCTTATTTGATTTAAGTTAAGTGGACCAATTGATATCATATGTGTACACATGATTTTGAGCAAATAAGGTGACAACCACATAATATTCAGAAATAATATGAGATAGTGGAAATAGGGACCAGGCGCGTGCGTGTTGAATTTTGGTTGGCTATCTGATTGAGTTTTTGTAGCGCTTTTCTTCATAAGCGCCATTATTTGTTTTCGTTCTTTTATTTCTTTTCATTTTATTTCTTTTCTTTTCCTTTTCTTTTCCAATTTTATTAAAATACTTTTATTTATCCAAAAATTCCAAAAAATATCATGAAATTAATTTAACATGGTTAATATTTCTTTCTGATTTTTATTTTATTTATGGGATTTTCGTGCTAGTTTATTTAATTGTTTTGGTTAAATGTGTCATTTATTTTAAAATAATTATTTAGGTTTTATTTTGATTTTATTTTTAACATTTCCTTAATCTAAAAAATACACAAAAATATTTTTCATGATCCTTAATGTTTTGAGTTAAATATAGTGATTTTTAACCAAATTTATCATTTAATTTGCTTTGTTTTATAAAATGGTTTATGTAGACTGTTTAATTTGGTCATTTTCTTACTTTTGTTTGAATTTTGATTTTATTTTCAACTTTCTACTAACCTAAAAAATGCCCAAAAAAAAAATTTGATGTTCTTGATTGTCTTGAGCTGATTTTTATGATTTTACTTTAATTATTCTTGATTGATTTACTTCTGTTTCAAAATTATTTGTCAAGCATGCTTCAATGGATGTCTTTTGGTGCTAGTTTACAATTCTTGATTTTATTTTCCATCTTCCTTCAATTATAAATTTATGAAAAGACTTGTTTCTGACTTGTGGATGTTTGAGGATCATATCCATGATTTTTGTTTGAATTTTAACTTCACGTTTCTATTTATACTTGATTTAATTTGAAAGTTTGTCCATTGATGCTTGCCTTCACAATTAGGGTTTTCACTTGGGTGTTTATGAACATGTTTTGATGCCAAACTTTAGCTACATTATGGTTACATGCATGTTTGAGGATTAGATCAACTTGGTTTGAACTTTGGATCCTTTTAAAGTCACTGTTTCATTAAATATTTGTGTGCCTAATGTGAACCCTCCTTTGTGGAGCCCTAATTGATGTTTTGATTGATAACTTGAGCCAATTCTAGATAATTTGAGAATCGATCAATTATTAAGGGATGATAAGTTCAATGATAATCCCTTGAGGATTTAAGAATCACTTGACCTCATTAGGTCAAGTTTTCTCTTTACTCTCATCTTGAACATGCTATCTTGCCTAGTTGATTTGTTTGCTTGAGATACTAGGTGTGCAATTTGTGCAACCTTAGGGATCAATTTCCTTCTTCCTTATTATATCCCTACAATATGTTAAGAGTCTTGATCTTACTCTGGTGAGCCATTCAAGTACTCTAAAATTATTTTTCTACTTGTATCATTCTTTGGAACTATTGGTCCATCTTTGGGACTTTGATGTGGAATGCAATTGTGTAATTCTCTTTTGATAATCATAGGTACAATTTGACGTGAACCATTTGAGGTTGCTTCTGACCTAATTACCTATAATCTCTTCTCTTATTTCTCCTTTGATTCTTTGATTTTCATTCCATTGCTAACTCATCATGATGACAATTTAGGAGCCAAATTCTTCTTTACTCGACCTAGTTTTGATCTTAATGATTGATGAAGATTTTAGGAGTTTGTGATCCAACTTTTATGCTTGTATTTTTATCTTATATTTTTTTCTCATCTCGATTATCTATGATTCTATGATCCTTTTGTTTAAGAATTCATTTTCTAATCAACATGGTGACACTTTAGAAGCTACACTTTCCTTCTTACTTAAGCTTTTGAACATGTTGCTTGATGATTTCTTTCCATTCTCTTGAGCCATGATTATTTGAGGCCACTTAGTGTTTTCTACTGCCCTTAAAACCTAAGTACTTCAATCTTTGCCTACTTTCTTGATTGCTTAGTTTACAATGCTTGTTTCCTCTTATAGACTACATCTTTGCTTGTTTGACAAGTTTCTTAAACCAACTTTTATGCATGAAGTTTTAGGTCACTTATCTTGATCATTCTTAAATTCATCATAAGTTTGCTTCTTATGCAAGGAACTTCATTCATCTTGACTCATGTTGTGGCTTCTCCCATTTCTTGCTCACTTACCTTGAATAGACAAATGATTCCTATCTTGGATGATATCTTTGTTTGTTTACCAAGTTACTTGACTTTGATTTGTGTATGAAGTTTTGATAACTTCTTTTTTTACTTTTGAACCTCATCTTGAGTTAAATTCTTTCACAAGTCACATATTCCATGATACCAAGTTTGTGCTTTCAATGCTTTATTACTACTTTCCTAAGTCTCCTTGAACTTGTTGTTTGATTGCTTGATTTCCTAGACTTATATTTGGTTCATACTCGACAATTATTTCTCCATCTTTGTGACTTGTTTAGTTTATTGCTATTTGATGTTGTTTTTGCCCCATTTAGCCTCCCATATTGTATCCTTCAATGTGCTTTTTTATGCTAAGTCTTTACCCTTGATTTCTCTCTTGAGTTCATAAATGTTTGTTATCCCCTTTCTTCTTCTTTTTGTGTGTATAATATGTTCCCATGGTATTTTCTGTAGTTCATTCTTGGTTGAGATTGAATTAAAGTAGATCTTAGGATTGAATCCATGCATGATAATGAGTAGGTAGTTCCCTTAACCTTAATCATAGGTCCATCTTTGCATTCTAACTTAGGCAGATGCTTCCCCTTTTATCCCAACTTTAGGTCCACAAGCATGACAACTATTAAGATTGAGATCCCATTTTGATTAGTATTTCTCTTTTGCATTTATTCAAATTCTAAAACATATAACAATTAATGATGAGAGTCACACTACCATGAACCATAAGCAATGGAAAAGGATGAGTGGGTCTATTTTCGAAACTTGTTGTTTTCTCTATTCATAGTCTTTTGTGTGTTTTAAATCACAAACTCCTTTCACAAATAACAAAAACACCAACCAATTCAAATCTTTCTGTCATCATACTTTTTCCTTTAACCTTTTCAAAAAGGACATGCTTCGTTAGCAATGTTCATAAAAAACACACAAAAAACTAAAACACCTTTTAAGGTGAACTACGAATGCCCTAGTCTCTCATTGCACAAAGAGGGTATGTAGCCACAAAGGTTCGCAACCGCGGCGGGGCGCATTAATAAAAAACATTTCTTTTGTATATACTTTGCATTCATGTATTCCCTTTAGCAATTTTAAACTTTAAATAACACACCCCTTCGATTATAAAAAACATAGTGGACCCCATGGAGTACAACGTACATTTAGGGTGCTAATACCTTCCCTTTGCATAATCGGCCCCCGTATCTAGATCTCTATTTACTTTAGGTTTTATTCGCTCTTTTCCTACTTCCTCTTGGAAATAATAAAGTGTGGTGGCGGTTTTCACTTTGTGAGTTAAGTCAATCAATGGCTTAATCTCAGCTTTTTACCACTACAGAAAAATTGGGACTTTACTAGGGAGTCTTACCTAAGTGGACCAATTCTATCTCTGTTTGTTATCTTTCTTTGGGTGTTTATTTTTAGCTTTTATAGCTTGTTCATTTGTATATATTTTCATCTGTATATATGTTTGCATGCATTGCATTTTATTGCTCTCTTTATGCTGGATATTGTGGTTCTACTGGATCTTCTGTGTTTTCTTGTTGGGTGGGTTGTTACTATGAGGTAAAAGGCCCAATACCCAGGCCAAAGAGTTCATATAGGAACACATATGATTAGATTGGATAGTCATGACATCTACGAGGAACATGTCTTACTAGTCGGGTCATAAGAGCCACGCTCAGACGAGGTTCAAATGGGGTACTATCATTACGCACATATGTGTTATGATGGTAGTACTTTTACGAGGAATCACGACTTTGATTTACCTTTTAACCTTACCCTGACCTAGACTGCACCTGTGAGTGGGGAGAGAATTAATCTTAATACGTACCATTGTTGATATTCTTGATATTTGGTTTCCGAGATGGTTTCAAAATTTTGATCATGTGGTATTCAAAAATAACACAACAGATATTCACTTTATATGGAGCCTTAATCCCACACGATTGCATACATAACATGTTAATGTCATTTTAAAACACATGTTCCTTTGTTTCCAAGCATCGCTTATTTGATTCCAATTGTTAAGCCGTCGAAAAATGAACGTTGCCAATAAGGACACCATGGCTTAACAATATGAATAAAAACGTATAAGTTCTTGGAAATATGGGAACATGGCATTTGTATTGCATGTCATGCATCATTTTGAATTTAATTATGCATTTCTAAAGTTTCTCAGGAGTCTTACTCAAATCCTTTGATCTTCAGTCAACAAGCTGTCACATTCTTATAACACCAGGGCTAACACCAAGAAGAAGATGGAACATTTGGAAAAAGAGAATCGCGAGCTTCTCAAGGAAGTGAATGCTCTAAGTACCGGTATGGCCAATTTGACTGTTTTGGTGGAATGGTTGGTGGCTGCTCAGAATCATCCACCACCTCCTCCACCTCCTTCTCCTCATGCTACTTAACCGCAACAGACTACCGTCATTTTTGAGATTTTGTCAATGTCTGTCTCTGCAAATCTTGTTGCCACTGCTCCTCAATTCCAAATGCCTCATGGTTATCCATGGGGAATGCCTGAAAATTACATGCATGAAGGTTATAATCATGCTTGTAACGCCCGTAATTTAATTAATTATTTAATTAAATTATTTTTGGAATATTTGTGAAGATGTATTGTGATTAATTGGATTTAATTATTTTATTAAGTGGTGAAATAATATTAGAAGTATAATATTATTTGATGTGGGTTTGTTTTAAAGGAATAGAAGAAATGAAGGAGGTGTATTAGTTTTGATCCCATTAAGGCATAAAGAGAATAATAGGTTATTTTATTATTGTTAGAAAGAATAGAAAAGAAGAAGCAGTAGAAGAATAAGGGTTGGAAAGAAGAACGTGAAGCTGTTGGTAAAGAGGAAAAACGGTAGAACGGGAATTCAACCGAAAGTTATAGAGCGACCTTCAATCCAAGGTAAGGGTGGGGTTCTGACTCTATAATTGGGTTCATGGTAATTGGTTTATGGGGTTAGATGTGAAAGTGTTATTTTGTTCATGATTGAATTATATGATGTTTTATGACGAGAATTGATGATTGAGAGATGAACGAGGATGTCTCGATGCTGTGTATTTGATGTAGAATTATAGGATAACTGTAAGTGATGATTATATATGATTAGATTAGGTTGTTAGGGCTTAAAGTATGGAACCCGTAGTGAAAACGCAGAGAAAATTGCAGAAATTACCCATGATAGAGCAGTATGCATCGACCCCAAATGGTATGTGTCGATACGTGAATGATGTTAGACTCAGGATGAGTCGACACAAAGAGGTCTTGCATCGATACATGAGGACCTTTAGACTCAGGATGAGTCGATACGAAGGAGCATGTGTCGATACATGTTGTGTGGTAGACTCAGTATGAGTCGATACAAGAGAGGATGTGTTGACTCATGTTGCGAGTTCAGTGCAGTACGCATCGATCCAAGACGTTATGCATCGATCCATGTCGTCTGGTTTTTGACAGAATCAGTTTGAGCAGGCTGTAACTTGAGTTTTCGGATTCCATTTGAGGTGTCGTTTGAAGAGTTGAATAGATAACACGATGAACTTCATTCTTATTGATTAAAATGAAGAATAGGAAGGATAACCATAGGATTTGAATTAGTTCCCGTGTTGATCGTTATATTGGTTTTTATGAAGAAGGATAAGGATGAGACGTTTGTAGAGAACTGTCTGGTTTATAACAGTAGGATTAATGATAATAATGATGTAATATTACAGAATAGTAGTATGTGGAGATTTGGTGATTTAGAAGTAAGCCTTAGTTGATTAACTAATTATAGGAAATATCTTGTATAGGCCTATGGCCAACATTGTGAAATTGATGAGTTACTGTGTATTACTGTACGACTGAGTTGTTGATGAGATGATGTTAATGAGAGTTGTTTTGATGAATTATGATGTATAAATGATGTTTGCTGCTTTATGATGATAAATGATATTGATTAAGAGATGTTGAGATGCTTTTCAGATGTAGGCCTTTGGCCAACGAAGATGTTGTACTGAGATGTTGTTAATTATGGTGTTGTTATTACATTTATGATTGTGTCGTATACATTGCATTTTGAGATGGAGCTTATGCTCGTTTAGATGGCTTGTATTGGCGAATATTGAGATGAAGTATTATGCCTTGTTGATGCCTCTATTAATTGGAAATTTTTGAGATGGGAGTTCTGCTCCAATGGTACCACATGCATTTGCATAGTATTCAGTCGCATTATATGATTGCATAAAGAAGTGTGTATTGATGTTATGAATGTGTATTATTGTTGTGATTATTGTTGATTATGAGATGAGAAGTGATGATGTTATGTGATCTAATTTAATATATTAATTATCATGCGCTTTATTATATTGTTAGATATCTCACCCCTTATGTTTGAATGTTACCATTATGTTGGTAACGTGCAGGTAATCGAGAGTGAAGGTTGTATACCCTCAATAGTTCGAGTCGGTTTCATTTCTCTGATATGTAACACTCGGGGGGATGAACGCTTGTTGATTTTGATTGTTAATTATTCAGTCGTTGAACTTTAAGTTGATTATTATTAAATTATGTTCTTTTGAAGTTGTTGTAATGATGATAAAGATGTTATTAAGAATTCCGCTGCATAGATGTTTTAATTGTTGAATTAAGAGATTTAATTGTTACGATGATGGTTCATCCAATGGTTTAAAGTGTTACGTATCCACGATGAATGCAATGAGTTTTGATGATGAATTTGTGGCATCCCGATTCGTTTGCGTGAATGATTTTATAACTCTGATTTATTTATTTAATTGTCGGGGTAGAATTGGGGTGTTACAAAGTTGGTATTAGAGCAAAAGGTTGGTCGGACCTTGTCGTCGAGTCGTAGTTGTCTAACAATAGAGTATTGTTAACTTGAGTTTTAACCGTTGTTTATGTTATAGTGAAGAGTTGAGATGGCTGGAAGGAATGATGTTGCACTTGTTGCTGCTCTAGAAGCAATGGCTCATGCGATGGAGAATCAGCTGAATGCTGACGGGAATGCTGGATCTCGTAGTTTGGCGAATTTTCGGAGAGAGAATTCGCCTATGTTCAAGGGAAAGTATGATCCTGACGGAGCATTGGATTGGTTGAAAGAGATTGAGAGAATATTCCATGTGATGGACTGCACTCCAACGCAGAAGGTTCGTTATGGTACTCATATGCTAGCAGTCAAGGCTGATGACTGGTGGCTAGAGACTTGTCAGAGATTGGAAGCTGCAGGTGAGAATGTCACTTGGGCTGTGTTCTGTAGGGAATTTCTGAGGAAGTACTTTCTTGAAGATGTTCGTGGTAAGAAGGAGATTGGGTTCCTTGAGTTGAAGCAAGGGAATATGTCAGTTGTTGAGTATGCTGCCAAGTTTGCTGAGTTGGCTAAGTTTTATCCGCACTACGCTGATGCAGATGCTGAGTTTTCGAAGTGTATCAAGTTTGAGAACGGGTTGCGCCCGGAGATCAAGAAGGTATCTGGATACCAGAAGATCCGTGTCTTTGCTGATTTGATTGATAGTTGTAGGATTTATGAGGAGGATAATAATGCGCATTACAAGATTATCAGTGAGGAGAGGGGTAAGCACCAACAGAATCATGGTAAGCCTTATGATGCCCCATGTGATACGGTGGGAGAACTGACTAGTGTTTTGCGTTCGTATTCGCACTTGTGCGGTTGAGCAAGAGTCGCCACCGACTTTTTATTTTATCCTAAAGGAAAGGTTAAAAAAGCACAGCAAAAACCTTTTGAGATATTTCGTGGGTTCGGGGGGTAGATTATGAAAAGGGAAGGTATTAGCACCCTTTTCATCCATGGTTATCCATGGGCTCTTAGTTACTTGGTTTTTTAGATCACTTGCCTTGTTTTTCGATTGCTTTGAAAATTGTGTGTGTGTGGGTGCTTTTTGAAAATGTTTTGGAAAAAGATGCCTTGTCTTAGGCAACTAATGTATTTGACTCGTGTTTGAGTGTTTTACAAAAGTGTGAATCTTTTCGAAAAGATGTTTCAAAATGTTTTTGAGAGTTTGTTTGAAAGTGTTGTGGATTGTGGTTTTTGAAAAGAAGGCAAGTGTTTTTGCAAGTTTGATCTCAAGTAACTAAGAGTTCTGTCTACCCTATTGTACTCAAAGGTCTTTGTCATGTTTTAACCCCTTTTAACAATTTTTGTTCTACCATTGAAATTGGTAGACAATCTTGCGTTTAGGAAGTTTATTCGGGACGGGCGCGGGTCATCGTATGGACCATGAATGCAATGATGCCAAGAGTCTTTGGCAATTTATTTTGAAGGGACTATGATCATTCCGATTAGGCAACACTTTGAGACTTATGATCATTTGATTTTGCCAAAGATACTCGACGTGCAAGCATGGCCCATTTTGGAAGGCAACATGTGGGATTACCCTAGAGGGTGCAAGTGTGATTTGTGTATTGATTACATGCATTTGTCTTGTATTAGGTTATCTAGCGTTTGATTTTATGTACATACAAACCCTAGGTCTAACCATGGTATAATTGGAAAAAACTGTAAATTGCGGAATGTAAAATCTACGCTATTACAAAATAATATCCGGGAGTGGGGGTATAAATGTACAAGGGGATAAGACTTATAGTATCCAATAAGTTACAACCAAATTGAATGTGCGATCAAAATGTAAATGTCGAATATACAGATATAATATAAACGAATGTGTATAGGGCAATGTGAATGTATTGTGTAAGTGTAAATATGAGATGTATATGTGTATTGTGTATGTGTAATTTATGTACAAGTGCGAATTGTGGAATTGAGGCGTATTAGGGTTTGACCTAGAGAAATGTCTTAAATGAAACTTTGATTTATATGTTTAATTATGTACAAAAGAAAAAAAGAAAGTGTTTTGATTTAAATGTATTTTAGTCAAATGTTTGTGAATTTCAATATTAGAAAAAATGTGTATATTGTTATGTACAAATATGTATGTTTAACTAAAAAGTTTCAATTTTAATTATGTATATAAAAAAAATGTATAATATGTACAAAATTAATGTTTTAAAATGTATGTACAAATATATTTTAAATGAAAGAGTAAATAAATAAATGGAAATAATTATTTTCAAATTTAATATATGAGGTAAAGATGTATTTTAATTAGGTTAGTATTTTACAAAAAAAAAGTAAATATTGCTTATAAAATAAAAGAAAGGGTTAGTATTATATATAAAAGAAAAGGTTAAATGAATATTGTTGATGAAAAATAAAAAAAAGGGTTAGTGTTTAATGGGCTTTGGGGAAGTGAGGACGGGTCAGGCCCAAGCTTGGTCTTCAACGAAATTTAGGGTTAGTGAGGAGTGTTCAGTTTGGTCATGAAAGTTTTAGGGTTAGCGAGGCAGCGGCGGCGCGTTCGTCTTCTCCGATCATCAACCTTCTGAACG